CGCTCAGTCTGCCCATTTGTCTGCGGATGATTGCTGGTGAAAAGGTTGAGCTGTGTGCCCAATAGTTCAAATAAGGCCGTCTAGAAACGGCCAATAAACCAAGTGTCTCTGTCGGTGACTATATTTAGCGGAAGACCCCAAAGCTTCACAATATGCTTGAGGAACAGCTGAGCAATAACTTCAGCATAACATACTTTTGGAGCTGCAATGAAAGTGGCATACTTCGAAAATCTATCTACAACCATAAATATTGAAGTAAAGTCATTTACCTTAGGTAAACCATTGATGAAATCCATGGAAGCACTCTCCCAAAGTCTGCTTGGAATAGGGAGGGATTCCAATGTACCCGCCACCTTCTTCCTTTCTGTTTTGTCCCGCTGGCACACCAGACAAGTGCGCACATACAACTCAACATCTACTTCCATGCGGGGCTAATAATAACTTTCTGCTAGCAAGGCAAGCATCTGTTGTTGCCCTGGATGTCCTGAACACAGAGCATCTTGAGTTTCTTTCAGCAACATCTGTCGAAGTCCATCTAACTTCAGAATATAGGGTCTCCTTCTTTTGGCATAGAGAACACCATCCTCTACCCAAAATCGCTGAGTCACCCCCTCTTGGACCTACCTCAACAGTAAGCTGGTCACGGGATCATCCTTTGTCTAATCCTGAATTCTTTGCAGCATATCTCCTACAATCTGACTAAGTGCAGCCATCGCCCCATTAGCAATTGGGATCCGACTAAGGGCATCAGCAACCTGATTTTCACTACCAGGTTTGTACTACAACGTGAAATGGAACTGAGCAAGAAAATCCTACCATCTTGCTTGTTTTGGTGTCAGCTTCTTCATGGAATTGAAGCAGCTGGTAGCCACATTGTCTGTAAGTACCAAGAAATGCTTTTCGAATAGGTAATGCCTCCACGCATTGATGCAGTGAATGACTGTCGTTATCTCCTTTTCATGCACAGAATACCGTTTCTCGGTATCATTCATCTTTCTGCTTTCAAATGGCACCAGATGTCCATTCTACACCAGCTCCCCTCAAAGAGCAAAGTCTGATGCATCTATATGGACTTCAAAAGGTAAATCAAAGTCAGACAATCGTTAAATTGGGCTAGTCATCACCACTGCCTTCAATCGATTGAATGCCTCTTGGCATTTGTAGGACCAGTTCCATGTCCTATCCTTCCTCAAAAGATCTGTCAACATAACCACCTTCTTTGAATAATTCTTTATGAACTTTCGATAATAATTTGTCAAACCAAGGAAAAATCTCAGTTCTGTAACCTTAGTAGGGCCAGGCCAATTAGCAATGGCCTCAACTTTCTTTGGGTCCATCTTCACCACACCCGTAGAAATAATACGCCAGAGGAATGAGATTTCCTTTTGGGCAAACTCAAATTTTTTCGATTTTAGATACAGCTGTGTTTCCCTCAACTTTGTCAAAGCCAACCTAAGGTGCTCAACATGCTTCTCAACAGTCTGGCAATAAACAACTATATCATCCAGATAAATAACCATAAATTTGTCCAAGTATTCCCAAAATACATTGGTCATCAAGTTACAGAATGTAGTAGGGCATTTGTTAACTCGAAAGACATGAATAAAAACTCATATGAACCGTACCTCGTTACACAAACAGTCTTTGTCTCATCTCCTTCTGCAATTTTGATTTCATGATATCCCAGCCGCAAGTCCATCTTGGTGAAAAAGACTGCCTCCCCAATCTATCAAACAATTCATCAACAAGCGACACTGGATAGTTATTTTTTACAGTAACTTTGTTAAGAGCTCTGTAATCTACATAAAGCCGTAATGATCCATCCTTCTTTTTCTGAAATAGAACAGGGGCTCCATAGGGTGCCTTACAAGGTCTAATGAACCCAATGTCCAATTGACCCCTAAGCTGTCTCCTTAGCTCCGCCAACTCTGATGGAGACATTCGATAAGGAGTCTGGGCAGGGATTTTTGCCCCTACAATCAACTCGATGGCATGATCAATCTCTCGCCTTAGTGGTAATCTTGCTGGCAATTCTTTGGGTGCCACTTCCTTGAATTCAACCAGTAACTGTTGCACTGGTTTAGGAACTTGCACTGTTTTCGACTCCTTTTCCTTAAATAGAATAACCAAGTATGGTGTTTCTCCTCTCCGCAAGCCATCTTTTACTTGCAAGGCAGACAACATTTCCCCCGAAGACTTAGCCTTGGTGAGGGGAACAAAACAGGGACTGGGCATGTCCATCACGAACATGGAACATCCCATGCAAATGAGGCATAACAGACACCTTTGCCTTCGTAAGAAATTTCAGTCCAAGAATTACCTGGAAATCATCAAGAGGGACTGCCATAAAATTGCATGGCCCTTGCCAATCACAGACTTTTAAAGGGACTTCTCTAGCAACACCGCCTACTAGTTTTGCCTATGAATTAACGGCCTTAATCTAGCTAGAGTCTTTCACCAAAGCCAGACCAAGCTGTTGCACCTCGCGGTCAGAAACAAAATTATTGGGTGCACCTGTATCAACCATTGCCTGGACAGCCACATTGCTCAGGCGAATCTGCACAAACATCAACCCCCTCTTTGCCACCGTCTCCTCTTTGCAACTTGCATTATGGAGTTGTAATGGGTTGACTCATGTTGGTTCGTTAGAACAGTCAGTTTCCTCAGCCATGAGGGCCCTGAGTTTTTTCTTCTTGGGATAATTTTTGGCACGATGAGATCATTACAGATAAAACAGCCTGAGTCAGCACCTCCCTTTGATGAAGAGGGCTTGTTAGTTTATATTTCTGCATTGTCAGACTTCTCAGCCTTTTTCTTCTGCTTGTCCTTCTTAGGGAACTTGGCTTTTCCTTTTGATTCCTTCTCCGGAGGATTTGCCTGCGTCTTGTAGTCAACCAACGCATCTGCTGCGGACGTTGCAGTGGGTAAGTCTTTCACCCCTTTCTGACGAAGTTCAGCCTGTGCCCAAGTTTGAAGGCCAGACATGAAATTGAACAACTTATCTTCCTTCGACATGTTTTTGATATCTAGCATTAGAGATGAGAATTGCTTCATGTATTTCCTCATGGTACTCGTATGTCAAAGTTTCCTTAATGCATCATGGGCTTGCCAAGCCGTGTTGCTCGGAAGGAATTGCTCCTTCATTTCAGCGGATAGAGACTCCCAAGTAGTAATTAGAGGACGAGACTTGTCCTCAGATTGTGTTTGCCACCATAATTTAGCATCACCAGACAGGTACATTCTAGTGAGATCTACCTTTTTAGCATCCAGTATACGGATTGCTTTAAAGTAGTGCCCCATATCCTGCAGAAAGTTCTCGAGTTTTTTAGCGTTACGACTGCCTGTGAAAGGCTTAGGGTCAAGCACCTTAGCTTTCTGAGTGCTTTCACTGCCAGAAGCCAAAGAAGCATTCTGCAGTGGCTTCTTGAGCACTAAAACTTCCGTCTCTGGGGAACTCAATTTTTCCCCAATATCATCGATCTATGTGGAGACCGTAGCCAGCACGTCAACGACTTTATTTTTCACTTGACAATAGTGATCAGATTCAGACTTTTGAAGTAGTTCTTGTGCAACATGCATCTCCTTGAACCGTTGATACAACAACTCAAGTTGCACATAAAGGGCCACACCATCACCGGACTATGGAGGACCAGCTAACTCCTCCAAACGTGCCACCCTTTCCCTCAGATCTGCATTCGTTCCACCAGCTATATTTGATCTTTTTGCCAAAACCAATGCTCTGATACCAAACTGTCACGGGGTAACAACTCATTTTCAATTTGAGGCTACCTATAAAGGCGTTGTTGCTGTAACCAGCCACACAATCTTAAGAACAAGGGACAGAGACTCACACAGAAGGCACAAACGAATTTACTAGGACAATACTCCCAAACCTTATATATTGAACTCAACAATTTACAAGGAACTCTCAAAGTCAGAACACTCTCTAACTATCAGAATGCCTCAGCACCCCTATTTATACAAAGAGTATGCAGATGACACTCCCATCTGCCAAAGCGTAGTTACACACATTTTGTTATTCCATAGCAAACTTGGTCAGTAGGCTTGATCTCTATACAACACCTAGTAGGCAGTTCCACCCCTTTAGTAACTGATGTGGAATTGCCCCTCATCAGGATGCATTTGGACCAGATTAAGACTAGGGACGCCCAGAACTGCTTTCCACAGACTAGGCCTTGTTCAGCAACTACCTTGACTGAGTCTCAGCATCTGCAACTGCCCATATCCTCCTGGTCACATACATTAAGCAGCCATGTGCCAGTCATGTGCCTACATTCAGTAGTCAACCTTGCTTCACGAACCAATGCGCATGCTGGGTTTAGCCCATGCCATACAATCTAAAGCTATGCACCCACATTGCCTCAATTAAGCCCATCATGTGCTGCCATGCTCAGCCGGGTGGTCTTATGCTGCCTTGGTCCGCACCAATCTAACAAACCACTTAGCTGCGTCACCTTGATTCCAACTCATGGTGTGCCTTGGTGCAAGGTGCCACCAAGACTAGCCATTTGCACCCAAGTTAGTTAGGGTGTGACAATAAGCTTCAATAGACCTTTTATAAAGAAATCCCCCAACAAAATAACCAATAGTTTTTCCACTACTACATTAATTTTATTTCAAGATACTTGGAGTATATTGAGTCAAAGTTTTGAATAAATACAGAGGACAAGACCAAATATCAAAACAAGAGAACTTCTTAGTTGTTAGATCTGTATTTGTTAGTTTCATTGTTATTTGCAACTATTGTGTACTCAGTTTTAGCTGGGATGTTGATTGTTACATGTTAGGTTGATTGGTATGCATCCCTAGCTTGCTATGATGTATAGAGGTGTGCCCCTCTTCGTTTCATAAATTATTTCAATTTCTGAATTATATACACTAACTTAAGTTATCCTACGTAGACCTCCAATCACATTTATTGACAAAACCATACTGACATGGCAACCAAAGAACTCTTCCAAGCAGCTTAGAACACATACCATGGCATTTTCTTCACAATACTTTATAACAACTGAGATATTAGGGCAATGACCAGTCAACAGTGTGTAGGCCCACAAAAGAAGCTTTCGGGAGGTATTCATATCAAGAATGTCAACCCCATCTATGCCCAGCTGAATATATGTTTCTGTCGCTAACTAAGATGGTGCCATATAAAGGTTTACACCTGACATTTGAGCATAGCACAAGAGGTGTCCCTATAGAAGTTGTATGAAGATCTCAGCAATGTTGTGGCAGTCTCCAAATCTTCATCAGAAACTTTCTTGATTATAACATTCTTAATCTTGGACAATGAAGGGTTCCACTTTGTTTCAAGAATATTTAGATGGTTTGGGTCCTCAAATGATGAATTCCCTAATTCATCTGTTTGCAGATCAACACAAAGTAGTTGGGTGTTTTCTAAACCACTATTTGATAAATTACGAACTTGGATCTCACTTGACAGTCTGGTATGTAATGGTGTGATTAGGGCCAAGCTAATCACAAGTGATCGACGCCAAGCAGTAGAAACATGCCTACAAACCTTTGTGCAGTTACTATTTGACAACTTTGGGTTCTTCAAATGCTTTCTTATCTTTTCATTTGTTCCTTCAAGCATTTCTAGCTTGGCATTGCTCTCTAACAACTAGATGTATTGATTGAGATATCTACAAAGGGTAACCTGTTTAAATAATTGTGAATGATAAACTAAGTGTCCAACTTATATATCTGACCTCAGTACTGCATTGCACTCATCTGAATCAGCATTCTAAACATTTTTAATTTGTGATTGTTATTTTCTTTAATGACCTACCCATGGAAGTTGCTTTTCACCAACTCTGGGCCCTTGATCTCAGGAAAATTGCATATATCGGACCATATGGTCACATGTTCTAAGAACAAAGAGAACATGTTCTCCAGAAGATGATCAAGAGATCCGTTCGCAGCACCAGAGCCATTGTTAGTTTGACGCATAGATGAAGTTAGAGCCTTGATGTACCTACCAAGTGCTACTGGAACGAGATCTTCCAAGCACAAGGAGAGCTAGATCTATAACAAGTTAGCTAAAAATTGATTTGATGAGCAACAAAACAAGATTAGTTATCTACTCATGTACCACCAAGCTGGAAGTGGCATGTAAATTAGAACAGGGATGATGGCTTCCTACGGAAATACTAACATTGCATAAGCTAAAATTAATGAAGATAATATAGTGAAGATCTATTTCTTGGTGAAAAGTATCAAACATGAAAGCTCCACAACGTAAATGGATATTATTTTCCAGGAAACACAACATTGACTAAGATGTGCAATAATATCCTCTAAAAAATGATCAATGGCAAGTATAGGATCAACCACCAGATCTAATTTGAAAAGAAGTCAAATGAGATAAAAGTTCATTCTAGGAGAAGGTTTTTATAGAAATCAATGTACTCAAGAACTTCAGTCTTCTTAATTCAAGTAATCACCTAATCATAGAATTTGTTTCAACTAGAATCGCTCCAAGCTTCATTTCCTAAATATGATAGGCTCTTAATATATTGCCCATGATATTTTTTGCAACATACACTAGATTAAGAAAATGCTAAAAGGATTGACATGTTCATACCCTCTTATTTGCCCAAATAGATGTGTAAGCATGGTCTAGAGTAGAGATGTCTACCGTCTCCTCCGTCAATTTCAAATAGAACAACATGTACTTCCTAATGCAAGTAATAAATTTTCGAGAACTTTCTGGTAGGTTAACTTCTAGCACCTTCATGTTCCTAGAAAGACCAATTGTTTTCCGCCTAAGACAGAAATAAAAATGAGTTGATAGTTTTATTACAACACATAAGGTAACCACAAGCACTCAAAATAAAAATACAGAAAGGAAGACAAATTCCATTTTACCCCTCTTGTAGTATTCACCTTATTAGATTTATTAGAGTTATCATTAGGCTGAGAATTTTTGTACCTTTTTGTTTATTAATATAGGCAGGTCTCCCAATCCTAGGGTAAGCCAGTCACTCTTTTACTTCTACCTTTCTCTTTTATCTCTCTCTAGAATCTCAACATAGTATCAAAGCACCCAAAACCCTAACCCTAGCCTCAAATACCTCTTCTGTCCTCTTTTTTTTTTTTTTCTCTCCAACCACTCAACAAAGCAGGTAGGTTCGCAACCCTGGGTGACAAAAAAGTATCATGCAAGGTCCCATTTTGAATGGGTCTTTGATCATGTAATCATTTGATAAGTGGAAACTACGGTGTAATTCCGGCAGATGGGGTAGGTTCCTTTTCGATTTATAGATATATATTTGAATTCACAAATTTCTAGGCTCTTGTGATTTGTTAAGGTTCAAGAGGAATTTCAGGTTCCAATCTAAACATCTCCAACAGAAACAAATGTAAAATGACAAAAGGGGTTTTGATTGAGAAACCCATAGTTCAATGACACAAAAGAGGAGAACATATTCAAGAAGGAAAAAAAAACCCAAAAAATTGAGAAAATACGACTGTTGAAAAATAGAGGAGAGAAAAAGTGGAAGAAAAAAGCAGCGGGGAAAAGAAGCCGAGGGTTTAAAAGAAGAAAAAATGTAGTTAAATACTAAGCTCACAATTACGNGAAAAGAAGCCGAGGGTTTAAAAGAAGAAAAAATGTAGTTAAATACTAAGCTCACAGTCATGNAAAAGTGGAAGAAAAAAGCAGCGGGGAAAAGAAGCCGAGGGTTTAAAAGAAGAAAAAATGTAGTTAAATACTAAGCTCACAATTACGTACCTGAACAAATTATTGATATGGGATCTAGTAAATCTCTGTGAACTAGTAATAGACTCGGTTAAACTAAATAAGAGGAGCAATTGCTTGGTGGATTGGTAAAAGCTAAGATGTCAAGCCTATTTTTAGAGAACACAGGTCTGAAACTAAGGGCAAACAGTTGAAGCAATTAAAAAGAGGTTGTGTCTGCACCTTATTAAACTCACGGAGCACCCATTTTACCATACATAAATGGGACCAATGTTAGGTCAAAGCCTTCCTACAATCGCACAGAGATACTGCATATGCAAGTATCCACGAAGAATTTATAGACTGTTGGAGGGTTGATATCTAGATACATTGGGAGCTCACCCAAGGCTNTTAAACTCACGGAGCACCCATTTTACCATACATAAATGGGACCAATGTTAGGTCAATGCCTTCCTACAATCGCATAGAGATACTGCATATGCAAGTATCCACGAAGAATTTATAGACTGTTGGAGGGTTGATATCTAGACACGTTGGGAGCTCACCCAAGGTTGGGCACCTAGACCTGATGTAACCTTCCACCTTCCATGAAAACATATAGGAATGAATTTTGTGAAGAAAAGTGCAAATTTGACCTAGGAGGTGCTATTGGTGGACTTCTCACTGTGAGGCTGAGGACCCTTTTACAAACACGGTATTGGTTCCGGAGGTGGAGGGGATTAAACATACTACATCCTAAACTTGCTTTACAACTGAAAGTGCCAGGTAGCCTATTAAATTTCTTAGACCACTTATCTGAGCCAACCTTTATTCTCTAGTATTAGCTAGGTCTTGCTTAGCCTTGGAAATTTTCAGCTCAAGACCTTTCTTGGATTCTCCATGGATGAAGATCTTTTTCCAACATTTCCCCACCCTCAGCTGTTGTGTTTCTCTTATCCACAACGGTAAGTTACACTCAGAGAGTAACTCTGTGACACACCCTTCAACTAACTAACCAGAGTTGCATATTCTACCGCTTCTTGTTTTAAGACATTTCTCTCATTCCAACTAACTAGATCTTGTAAGACATGTTCATCTATGCCTTTCTCAGCTTGAGAGATTCCTTGTACAGTTCACCACAAGACTCACATCTGGNTGTGACACACCCTTCAACTAACTAACCAGAGTTGCATATTCTACCGCTTCTTGTTTGAAGACATTTCTCTCATTCCAACTAACTAGATCTTGTAAGATATGTTCATCTATGCCTTTCTCAGCTTGAGAGATTCCTTGTACAGTTCACCACAAGACTCACATCTAGATGTTCATACTTATCAGTTATCAAGGTCATCTCTCGTGTCTAGATCTTCAACAGGGGACATCTCACAGATTTTTCCTATGCGGTGAAGCTTGTATAATTGAATTCCTTATCGAATGAAGAATCATGGAACTGTTTGAGTTAGATTCACAGTCATTNCACCACAAGACTCACATCTAGATGTTCATACTTATCAGTTATCAAGGTCATCTCTCGTGTCTAGATCTTCAACAGGGGACATCTCACAGATTTTTCCTATGCGGTGAAGCTTGTATAATTGCATTCCTTATCGAATGAAGAATCATGGAACTGTTTGAGTTAGATTCACAGTCATTAAGAGTAGCATTCATTACCGTTAACTAGGAACAAGCATTACAACCTTTAAAACTTCGAAAACACTTTCCAACGCAGAAAAGGTTGAAACACTTACACGAAGTGCATGATTGTCATGAAAAGAAAAATAAAAGTTGTCCTCTACAAAATATCAGTTTCAAAACCAGCCACTATTATCCATCAAGTTGAGAATTATAAGTAAAAGTAATAAGTGTGAACAAATTCCATGCAAATATTAATTCCAGCACTCATAATGAACTATCTATATCAGAGTTCTTCTATGGGAATATTTGGATAATGAAACTGTGGCCATAGAACCATCAACTTTTGAGGATAAAATTTGACTCGCAGAATTTCCACAAGGATGGATAAGGTTCTTCATCTGCGAGACAATTTGAGATATTGCCTTCACTTTGTTATCAACCAAATGATTCCAATGTTTGCTTGGGTTTTCTTTTGATTCTGTCTCAGAAATAGAGAGCACTTTTAAGCCTGACATTTTCTCAGAAGCATGACATTCTTCCACACCAACTGCAACCATGAGTATTTGCAGCTTCTGTTGGAGACAATTCAAAAGAACCTCAATGTCCATCGGCTCTGCGTGTTCACATGCTTTAATTAAAACATCTAATGCTAACAGTTCAAGTGAAGTAACCTCATCACGTTCTTTGATGGCAACATATAATAAATCAGGATACACATCTTTTGCAGAAATTAGAAGGGGGGAAATCAAACTTACACACTCAGAATGCATGTCTTTCTCAATCATCTCACCNCAGGATACACATCTTTTGCAGAAATTAGAAGGGGGGAAATCAAACTTACACACTCAAAATGCATGTCTTTCTCAATCATCTCGGCTACAATCTTTTTCAACAAAACAATCAACCTCCAGTAAATTAATCTCATGCAGAACCCTATCAATTGTTAATTTTTTAACGGCTTTGCAGTGGGGCAAGCAAACAGATCGAAGAGAGCCACTTTTATTATCCTTATTCGTCAAAAGTGATAAGGAAATACCGAATTCTTCTTGAGCTTTAGCTTTGTTACCATCCAAAACTGATAATCACCCACATAACCAAAAAAATGAACCCAAAACGAATGTTTATTGCTCAATAGAGAAGAAATGCCAATTGGCATTTGACAATTATGCTGAGAACTATCTATCGAAGAGGAAGTTTAACCCCCAGCTCCATTACTCACGTGGAACAGATATCTAGAGCTATCAATTCGATTATCTTATAAAGATGATATGATGCTTCTGACATGAAATTAGACATCCTAAACTTGTCTGGGGAATGTGATCCAAATTCATAATACAGCTCAACAAGAAAAAGACAGCNTGCTCAATAGAGAAGAAATGCCAATTGGCATTTGACAATTATGCTGAGAACTATCTGTCGAAGAGGAAGTTTAACCCCCAGCTCCACTACTCACGTGGAACAGATATCTAGAGCTATCAATTCGATTATCTTATAAAGATGATATGATGCTTCTGACATGAAATCAGACATCCTGAACTTGTTTGGGGAACGTGATCCAAAGTCATAATACAGCTCAACAAGAAAAAGACAGCATTCAGGTGTCCTATCCCTTCCCCAGTGCCTTGTCACCTTCTCTAACTCCAAAAACTTGGCAAAGGTGTCCTGATATAACATGCTTGTACTTACCATCTCTTCTAAAAGCAAGTGACCCAAGTGGTAAGTGCCATAATTTTTTGAGGTTTCTTGAACAAATATGGTAACATCTTTCATTGTCTAGTGGACCAGCCACAACCTCAGCACATTGAAAAGAACAGGCGGTATCATTCTTACTATTTTTAGTTCCTGCTCCACCCAAAGTAAAAGGTTCTAGAAATTGCAGTACAATTTTTCCCAGATCCTTACTGCTCGCAAAATCTAATTCTTCGTTACCCGGTTTATGACTTCTAAGCCTTTCAAGACGACTACTTCGCCTCTCCTAAGGTTGTTCTTCATACATAATTGCTTCCTTCTTAGTAAAAACACTTCCTTTGCCTGAATTACAATTACTGTAAGACTTATTTTCAGCAAATGGGGTGACAGTACATTCTTTTCTTTCCCCAGANCTTCTTAGTAAAAACACTTCCTTTGCCTGAATTACAATTACTGTAAGACTTATTTTTAGCAATTGGGGTGACAGTACATTCTTTTCTTTCCCCAAACCCCATAACAATTCTTGAACTATGAGGCAACTTTATACTTAATCCAACATCCCTAGATCTAGCTAATTCTCAGGCTCTTGTTCACAACCAGATCCACTCAATGGAAGTAAGATTTCCAGAAGTATGTCAGCAAGAGCTATCCAAGAAGCCTCTGGGATACANGGCTCTTGTTCACAACCAGATCCACTCAATGGAAGTAAGATTTCCAGAAGTATGTCAGCAAGAGCTGTCCAAGAAGCCTCTGGGATATACAATTCTATGTTTTGGTTCACCTTTTTGGATAGGATACCATCATCTTGATCATTATTTGTTGCTTTTCTCTTTTCCAGAAATTTCAATCGGACATGTTTAGGTTCCAATTTGTCTATACCTCTTGGAGCATATGGGATTGGTTCAGACTCCTCAATGGTACTTTTGACATGCAAAGCACGAGAATGTGATGGGCAATGCCTTAAAATCAATTCTGCAATAGAAAGGAACACCACATATCCGTTAAGAGCATTGTCATACCGCTTTGAAGTTTTGTCTCAAATCACTTCGAATTTAGGTCTAATTCCATACTTTGGACGCTTAATAATAAATTTAAATTATAGTATCTATAGAGACTTAAACCTAAACATTGAGCTAAAAACTCTGTTCTTACCTATGGANGAGCATTGTCATACCGCTTTGAAGTTTTGTCTCAAATCACTTCGAATTTAGGTCTAATTCCATACTTTGGACGCTCAATAATAAATTTAAATTATAGTATCTATAGAGACTTAAACCTAAACATTGAGCTAAAAACTCTGTTCTTACCTATGGATCAACCACTCAGTGGTAACTAGTGTATTCTTTCAATATCCATTACAATATAAATTTGTATAGCCTATACTAATGGTTACTCATGCAAAATATCATATCTGCATGGATAATTAACATTTATATATGTTCACCATCATAGTTTTAAAACTTAGCATAGACATTAACCCAGTAAAGAAATCGGGTCAGCTGGTCATTGGTCGGNCTAATGGTTACTCATGCAAAATATCATATCTGCATGGATAATTAACATTTATATATGTTCACCATCATAGTTTTAAAACTTAGCATTGACATTAACCTAGTAAAGAAATCGGGTCAGCTGGTCATTGGTCGGACCGATTGTTTAATAAAAAATTAAAATAAATAATAATAATAATAAATATACCAACAAATATAATAAGCATAAAAATAGCTAATGGGCCCAGCTTAGGTGATGCCCAACTAAAGTAATGAGTCCGGTTTAGACAAGGCCCAACTTAGATAGTGGGGCTGGCCCGAATAAGGACCGACTAAAGGAATGGGCCNATAAATATACCAACAAATATAATAAGCATAAAAATAGCTAATGGGCCCAGCTTAGGTGATGCCCAACTAAAGTAATGAGTCCGGTTTAGACAAGGCCCAACTTAGATAGTGGGGCTGGCCCGAATAAGGATCGACTCAAGGAATGGGTCTTGCCCAGTCAAAGTCCAATAGACCCGACCCATATGAGACCCAGCTCAGCTCACCATGGAATCAAGAGAGCACAGTCGGCCACGCCATCCTGGAGCCAAGGAGTCAGTCACGCCATCTGGAACTAAGGAGTCAGTCATGCTATCTTGGAGTCAAGGAGTCAGCTACGCCATTCTAAGACCTAGTGTGCAATTGATAAAGAGATCTCCGTGCAAGTACCCCGTCCATTGCGAGAAAGGTACCACCTCCACTGAATTAGCCTATCTGTTACGAATATAATGCCTCAATCGGTTATGAAACGTCTATAAATTATAAGTTTCACCTACATATGGAGGGCATCTTGCATTTTCTCTTACACTTGACTCACCTGAGCTCCCCACACTCCTACAGTAATAAAACACCCCGACAACCAAAGCCCTTTAAAGTGGATTAAGTCATCTTGATCGAACTACTATATCCATGGGTGTTGCTTGTGTTGAGTTCTCCATCATATTTTCTGTATTTTATTAACCATAATAATCACTCTACAGGTGGTGCATAAAATTGATTTGAGCATCATCAGTAACTATGTTTAATGTCTATTGGATCAAATAAAACCTATAAATTTAGACCAAAAAAAAATTGCCAAATTCCAAATAAAAAACTCAGAATCAGATTTTACAGTATATCAACAATCAATTTGCATGGTTAAATGTCAAAACTCTAAAGGTAACCTTATAACCTTNTAGACCAAAAAAAAATTGCCAAATTCCAAATAAAAAACTCAGAATCAGATTTTACAGTATATCAACAATCAATTTGCATGGTTAAATATCAAAACTCTAAATGTAACCTTATAACCCTTATAAATCCACGTATCAAAAAAATCACAACCACATGCTACAACACCACAAATAAAAAATAGCAAAAAAGAAATCAAATTTGTGTTGAGAATGTAGAGAAGAGAGAGCGAGGTAATGACAAACTTGAGGGCGGTGAGATTATGCTACAATAACCCAGTGAGGAACGACTACAACCTGTTCGTGGTAACCCCACACCAAATAAAAATTCTATAACAAGTTGAAGGAAAACATGTCAAAACTTTGCATATTTTTCACTGAAAGTTGTTTACCTAGGTTTTATAGGATTTTACAGAGAGTGAGGAACCTTCGACTGTGTGTTGTGTTGAGTCATTGGCCCTCACAACAGCTCAAATGGTATTGAGGGGGTGAAACTACTTAATTTAGGACAAAAAATGCCCAAAAAGGCTAATTGTTTATACCATTTTAATTGATCCGGTCAGTGGGTTGAACAATTTTCTCATCAATTACATGGCTTAATGGGTTTTTTCTAAGTTTTTTTGCTCAACCGGTCTAATGTAAGAACCATAACGATTTAAGCTTTAGTTTGCCGATTTACTGGCTCAACTTGTCGGNCCAAATAAAAAACTCAGAATCAGATTTTACAGTATATCAACAATCAATTTGCATGGTTAAATATCAAAACTCTAAATGTAACCTTATAACCCTTATAAATCCACGTATCAAAAAAATCACAACCACATGCTACAACACCACAAATAAAAAATAGCAAAAAAGAAATCAAATTTGTGTTGAGAATGTAGAGAAGAGAGAGCGAGGTAATGACAAACTTGAGGGCGGTGAGATTATGCTACAATAACCCAGTGAGGAACAACTACAACCTGTTCATGGTAACCCCACACCAAATAAAAATTCTATAACAAGTTGAAGGAAAACATGTCAAAACTTTGCATATTTTTCACTGAAATTTGTTTACCTAGGTTTTATAGGATTTTACAGAGAGTGAGGAGCCTTCGACTGTGTGTTGTGTTGAGTCGTTGGACCTCACAACAGCTCAAATGGTATTGAGGGGGTGAAACTACTTAATTTAGGACAAAAAATGCCCAAAAAGGCTAATTGTTTATACCATTTTAATTGATCCGGTCAGTGGGTTGAACAATTTTCTCATCAATTACATGGCTTAATGGGTTTTTTCTAAGTTTTTTTGCTCAACCGGTCTAATGTAAGAACCAAAACGATTTAAGCTTTAGTTTGCCGATTTACTGGCTCAACTTGTCGGGCCTAGCCAAATTTTCAAACAATGTTGATATCAGATATTGAGCGAGATAGGTGACTGAGTCATGGGACCTCACACATGCTCAAATGGTTGCGAGAGGATGAAACCGCATAACATAAAGTAAAATGTCAAAATTTGTAAATTGCCGTGAACAAGGCTATTGAACCAATCCCTTATTGTGTTATGAATCATGAGAACTGGAATGAATGGTAACGGACCAAAAGGCAAAAACAACACAATCTAGCAAGCCAACCCTAAGTATTTTTGTTTGCAAAACTAAGTACCACACATGCATTATTTCCCACTGAAATTGGCTTTTGAAGGAAAGAACTGTAAAAATAGCAGTAAAAATATATGTCATAAAGTAACATATATTAAAAGAACATGAGAGTTTCCTCCGTTCGGTTGAGCAATTGGTAGATTGTGTTGGTATCAATCGAAGCGTATGCATATTGTCAAGTTTTGACAGTAGTTAATCATTCAACAGAAGTCAATGTTCCTCAAAAATAATTTTGTGGCCAATCTAACTCATTCTGTGAGCTATAGATAATTATTTCTGAAACAAACACATATAACANTGAACCAATCCCTTATTGTGTTATGAATCATGAGAACTGGAATGAATGGTAACGGACCAAAAGGCAAAAACAACACAATCTAGCAAGCCAACCCTAAGTATTTTTGTTTGCAAAACTAAGTACCACACATGCATTATTTCCCACTGAAATTGGCTTTTGAAGGAAAGAACTATAAAAATAGCAGTAAAAATATATGTCATAAAGTAACATATATTAAAAGAACATGAGAGTTTCCTCCAATCGGTTGAGCAATTGGTAGATTGTGTTGGTATCAATCGAAGCGTATGCATATTGTCAAGTTTTGACAGTAGTTAATCATTCAACAGAAGTCAATGTTCCTCAAAAATAATTCTGTGGGCAATCTAACTCATTCTGTGAGCTATAGATAATTATTTCTGAAACAAACACATATAAAAAAAATGAAAAATAAAAAAAATGAGCTGGGTAATTTTAAATTTAAAATTTGATCGAATATTATACCTTTCTTGGCAATCAAATTAGAGGAACCTCATCCATTTCAAATTTGTTTCTCTCTTATACTATTTCATCAATTTCTTGGTAGCCAAATGGGTCATCAATGATCATACTTAAATACCAATCATTATTACAACGAAATCAAGAATCATACTCAAACATATATCATATATTCGTTAAAATTTATACATATATGTGTTGAGATATGGGAAAATTAAAATGGGTTTGCCTGGGCTTCCTTGGTGGGAGCTAAAGTTTCCCACTGACCTTTTGTGTCTGCATCGTTTATAGCTGTGATTGAGAACTAAAACATAATAAAGAAATTCCTAAGAAACCCATCTTATTAAAGGTTTGTACTCTTTTTATTTACAAGAACACTGTTGAAAAGGGAAAAAAATACATGAAATCAATGCAAAGTACCATTTTTCAATATTTATGGTGATGTACGGAACTTCGGGAGTGCTGTTCGTGGGTTTTTCTCATCTCAGCTTTATGATTTAGGCGGGTTGGGTTTTTGCTCCCATGTTACTTTTGGGATATGGAACTTTCGGTTTACAGCAGAACCCCATAGAATGATAAATACTTTCCTTTTCGGTCAATTTCTCTATTAATTAGTGTATTCTTTCTTTTCTTTTCTTTGGTTTACAAAAATAATATGCAGGCACACCACATATCCGTTAGGAGCATTGTCATACCGCTTTGAAGTTAAGTCTCAAACCACTTTGAAGTTAGGTCTCATCGCATACTTTGGACGCTCAATAATAAATTTAAATTATTGTATCTATAGAGACTCAAACATAAACATTGAGCTAAAAAATCTATGTTCTTACCTATGGACCAACCGCTCAGTGGTAACTAGTGTATTCTTTCAATATCCATTATAATATAAATTTGTATAGCTTATACTAACAGTTACAGCTACAAAATATCGGATCTACATGGATAATTAACATTTATATGTGTTCACCATTAAACCGGTAAAGAAATCGGGTCTGTTGGTCATTGGTCGAACCGATTATTTAATAAAAAATTAAATTTTAATAATAATAAATATACCAACAAATATAATAAGTATAAAAATAGCTAATGGGCTTGGCTTAGATGAGGTCCAACTCAAATACTGAGTCTGGTCCAGACAAGACCCAACTTAGACAGTGGGGTTGGCCCAAACAAGGCCCGACTCAAGTAATAGGCCCGGCCCAATCAAAGTCCAATGGGCCCGACCCATATGAGACCCAGCTCAACTCACCACGGAGTCAACAGTGCACTGTCGGCCATACCATCCTAGAGTCAAGGAGTCAGTCACGCCATCCTGGAACTATGGAGTCAGTCACGCCATCTTGGAGTCAAGGAGTCAACTACGCCATCCAAAGACCTAGTCTACAATTGATAACGAGATCTCCATGCGATTAACCTATCCGTTGCGAGAAAGGTACCACCTCCACCGAATCAGCCTATTTGTTATGNAGTCACGCCATCCTGGAACTATGGAGTCAGTCACGCCATCTTGGAGTCAAGGAGTCAACTACGCCATCCAAAGACCTAGTCTACAATTGATAAAGAGATCTCCATGCGATTAACCAATCCGTTGCGAGAAAGGTACCACCTCCACCGAATCAGCCTATCTGTTACGAATATGATGCCTCAATCTGTTATGAGACATCTATAAATTGTAAGTCTCACCCACACATGGAGGGCCTCTTCTATTTTATCTTACACTTGACTCACTTGAGCTCCCCACACTCCTATAGTAATAAAACACTCTGACAACCAAAGCCCTTCAAAGTGGAGTAGGTCATCTTGATCGAACTACTATATCTCTGTGTGTTGCTTGTCTTGAGTTCTCCATCATATTTACTACATTTTATTAACCATACTAATCACTAGACATGTGGTGTATAAAATCAATTTGTGCATCATCAGTAACCATGTTTAAAGTATATTGGATCAAATAAAACCCAGAAATTCAGACAAAAAAAAAATTGCCAAATTCCAAATTAAAATCTCAGAAT